AAAAAAAAAAATAAAAGAGAATGGGCTTAAAAAAATAATTAAAAATAATGTGAGAGAATCAGGTTGAGCTCAGTCATCCACACAGAAAAAGAATGAATTATGTCAAACCTTCAAACTTAACATAGGCTCTAACTATCTCACATTTGTGGGCAGGTAATCGAAGGGGCCAGTCCCTGGAGAAGGACATCATGCTCCGTATGGTCATCGCTGTTGCAATGCACTGTTGCGTCTGAGTGGACACATAGCTGACCCTCCTGTTTCCACAGGTGATAAATCACGTGGGAGGAGACTGCCCATCGTTCTCCCAGGTTGCAGCTGGTGGATTCGAACCACATGCCTTTGAGATGGCAGCGCAGCTCCTTACCACAAGGCCATCAGATCTCAATGATGGCACAGTAGATGTTTAGCAGAAACGAAGACCGTTAAGGAGATATATTGATGCAGCGACTGCAGCAGTGGGAATCGTGCAGGGCGATCGTGTATGTGTGTGGCAAGATCAGTAGTGATTTGTTCTCTTTTGCGTGGGGTCCATCTGACTGTCCATAGTCACAGTCTCCAGCGTGTGCAAGCCTCCTGTTGTGGTCACTACGTGTCCGCCCATCTCAGTGAGGGGGTGCCCACTTTCACTGACCCTCTCCTTTTGTGAGCACGAGGTCTTTGTCCATGTTCTTTAGCCCCTTAGGAGAACACGTCCACAGTACAGGAGATGCAGTTTTGTCATCCTTGCCTCTTTTTTTTTTTTGGTAGCAAGTTATGAGCTTATTTATTTTCTCTAGCTTTCTCTTATATTATATACACTGCTGTGGTGGTCAAGACATTGTGGTACTGGTACAATGAAAGATACATAGATCAGTGAAATGGAATTGAGAACCCGGAAATCAGCCCATCTTCCTATGGTGAACACTGTGACACTGATGTGTCAAATGCGTGTTATCCACGGCAGACAGTGTTGGGTGGTGCTCCCTGATTAAAACAAGCTTGGAAGCAGGAGTGGCATCCACTTCTGAAATAGCTTCCCTCTGGAAACCCTATGAACCTGGAGAAAGGATCAAAGTCACACAAGCATTGAGGACTTTCCTTTATAGGGTCGCTATGAGTCGCCTATGACTCAATGCCGCTTAACAACAAGACAACCACCTATAGTCAACTGATTTTTGACAAGGAGATGAAATCGGTTAAGTGGGGAAACTACAACTGTTTTAACAAATGGTGCTGGCAAAATTGGAAAACTGTCTGCAAAAAAATTCAAGCAAGATCCACACGTCACTTCATACAAAAAAACCAAATCAAAGTGAATCATGGCCTTGTAAGCACACGCCCTGATGGCACGAATTCCTCCAAGATAAATTTATTTGTTCTTTGGACAGTCCGTCACTCACCAACCCCAGATTCAAAGCAGCACAGTAGCCCTCACAAAGTACCATGCTCTCCAAGACCGGACGCAGCGCCAGAGACCAAGAGATGCTGTTTAGCGGGGTCCTTGGTAAACACCCAGCACTGGCTTGCTCTCATAAGCTGACAGTCTTAACTGTTTTCCTGGTCCCACAGCTATTTCATGTTTAGAGCCCACATGACTGTCAGGGCAGAGAGTAATCTCGAAATGTGCAGGCCAAGAATGTCAGATTCTCCAAGGATGGAATCCGCTTTACCCAGAGGACCTGGAGGCTGACAGCATTTAACGGCCTATGTGGGACTTAGTGTTCTTTACCGAGGAATCTAAGTAGTAGTTGGCCATTAAGAATAGGAATTAGGTGCTGAAATCATGGAAAGATAATCTATGCATTTGTTTTACAAACCACTTAATTATTGTTTGATGAGTAAATTTCATCTAGGAAAGAAGTAGAAGCTGAAACTATTGCCAGATTCCCACAGACCAAGGGGAAGAAATACATTCCTGGGAGGCATTTCAACAGGGAAGAGATTCCAAGTTCAGCACAGACAAATGTCGACCATACATGTTCCGGACTGTTCTGGCGTTTTCCCTTACGTCTCACACATACCATCCATAATTATGGACGATGAGTTACCGCCTGGGTGTGGCATTGAGAACAGGAAGCTGTTTGCCTACGAGGTAGTAGAGGGCGAGAGCCTCGTTTGCTTCAGAGGCCAAGTCTGGGCATGAAATGAATGCGATTATGGTATAGAGTCTCACAAGAAAATTCTGCTAGCAACACAGAATTTTATTTTTGCTTATTTTCTAGGAGAGAAGATAGCAAGATTTAATCAGGCTGCTTACTGTTCAAAGGAGAGGTTGGTGGCATAGAGGGTTAAGTGCTGGGTTGTTGTTGTTATGTGCTGTCAAGTCACTTGCGACTCATAGCGACCCTATGTACAGCAGCCCTAAACTCTGCTCTGTCCTGTGCCAATTGCACTGTCTCTGACGCACCCATCCCGATTACCCCAGTCACTGAATCAACCCACCTCATAGAGGGCCTTCCCCTCCTGTGCTGTCCCTCCACCTTACCAAGCATGATGTCCCTCTCCAAGGACCGGTCCCTCCTTACAACATGACCAAAATATGTCAGATGAAGCCTCAGAATCCTTGCCTCCAAGGAGTGTCCTGGTTTAACTCTCTCCTAGATGAATCTGTTTTCTTAGCAGTCAATGGTATATTCAACACTCTTCTCTAGCACCACAGCTCAAAGGCATCAATTCTCCTTCTATCCTCCCTAATCATTGTCCAACTCTCTGATGCATAACAAGTGATTGCAAAGAACATAGCCTGTATGAGACGCACCTTAGTCCCTACAGTGAAACCATTGCTCTTCAGTTCTTTGGAGAGGTCCCTAACAGCAGACTTTCCCATCACAATATGTTTCTTGATTTCCTGGCTACTGGTGCCAAGAGTGCTGATTGTGAGCCAAGCAGACTAAAGCTGTGAACAATCTCAATCTCTTCACCACCCATTCTGATGCTGCCAATTGGTCCAGTGGTGAGTATCTTTGTCTTCTTGACATTGAGCCTCAATCCATATTGAAGGCTGCAGTCCTTGACCCTCTGCAGCAAGCACTTCAGGTCCTCCTCAGTTTCAGCAAGCAGGGTTGTGTCATCTGAATAATGCAGAGTGTTGATAAATCTTCCCCCAATCCTGACATCACATTTTTCCTCATAGAGCCCAGCCTCCTGGATAATACTAGCTGAAATTTTAGTGGTTCCACTTCACTCAGATGCAGCTCCAGAGAAAGGCCCGGTGGTCTGCTTCCAAAGAGTCACCACTGTGAGTGAACCCTATGGAACAGCCCCATGAATCTGATTTGACAGCCACAATTTAATTTTGTTTATTCTGTTTACTTAGCAGTCAGGAGACCAGGAGACATGGCATTAGGAAAAGTCTGTTCGAGACCTATTAAAAATATGTAAGAGCAATGATGTCACTTTGCAGACTAAGGTGTGCCTGATTGAAGCGGTAGTCTTTTCAGTCACTTGCTATGAAGCTAAGAGCTGGACAGTGAGTAAGGATGACAGAGAAAGAACTGATGCCTTTGAGCTGTGGTAATGGAGGAGAGTACTGAATATCTCATGGATGGTCAAAAGAACAAATTGATATTTTTGATCAAACAGAGTACAGCTTGGAGGCAAAGATGGCGAAGCTTCATCTCATGTACTTTGAATATGTTGGTAGGAAAGGCTAATTCTTTGCGAGGGATGTCAGGCTTGGAAAGGTAGAGGGTTGGTGAAAGAGAGGAAGACCCCCGAATGAGACGGATTGACACAGTGACTGCAGCAATTGGCGGGTGTGTCAGGGATGATGAGGTGGCCCAGGGGAGGGCAGGGTTCAGATCCGTTGTTCATAGGGTTGCTTTGGGTTGTACTTGACAGCAATGAGCAAGAAGACATCAGGAGGGGAAGCCAATCTGCCGAAAGCCTTTAGCCTCTTACCCCACCTGCTTTCAGTTCAGTTGATTGCGTTCTGAATGGTGGTGGCAGGTTTGTCCTCAGCCACTTTCCCTTGTTCCGGTGTCACGGTCATTGCCATTATTGCTCAGTGTCTGTCTACCTCTCCTCTTTAGACAGAGAAGCCAATTTGTGGCTGTCGAGTGGACCCCGTGAATTACAGCAGAGCCAGACGCCTCCACAGCCTCCTTGGCTGTAAGCTTTGGGGAAGCAGATGGCTGGCCCTTTGTTCTGTGGTGCCACTGGCAGGGTTCCCACTTCTGTTCACCCCATTTGTTGTGAGGTGGTGTTGAGCTGATTTGCACTCAGCGCTCTTACGTGTGACAGAGGAAACCACCTTTGGTCCTGTGCCGTCCTCAGCATCTCTGCTGTGCGTGGGGTCTTGTGCCAGTCACTGCGCCAGTCTGTCTCTTGGAGGGTCTTCCTCTCTTTACTGATCCTCTCCTTGATCCCACCTGCTGCTCTCCTCCAGGGACTGGCGCCTCCTGATCCCCTGTCCTAAGTCTGGGAGACAAAGTCTGACATTTTTGCTTCTAAGGAAACTTCATTCTGCCTTTTCTTCTTCAAAGAAAGATTTGTTAATTTTGAGCCCCAGGGACCCCCTCCCTCATCACCACCACGTGGTTACCGTCTTGGTGGCTCCTTCTCGTGCGGGTGCCTCCTCTGCCTCCCCTTCCTCCTCCTGTTCCTCCTCCTCTCCACCAGCTGCGTCTCTGGGTTTTGCTTTTGGCTTTTCCTCTGGTGCGTCCGGTTCGGGATCGAAGTTGAAAGTAAAGAAGTTGTAGGCCTCTTCTGCAGAGGGGAAGCCAGGGGGAACCTAGGGAGGAGAAGAGAGAATGGCAACTTGAAATTTCAGTCATTGAAATGGGCTCTGTCGCATCGTGACAGCTGCTGGACTCGGGGCCAGAGCCCTCAGCGCGCAGTGTCCATGTGGACTCGCTGGTGCGCACCGGCCAGCCTCTTGCCAACACTTTCACTGGGGCCTCATCACCCATGTGAGAGCCATGGGCAGTTAGTTGCTCACTGTTGCTGTTAGATGCCATCAGTTTATCTCTGACTTCCAGTGACCTGTGTATTAAAGAACGCAAATGCAGATGGGTCCTGCTTTGCTGTGTGAGCCTCTTTCTCAGCCTGTTTCTGTGTTAATCCATCTCACAGAGACTCTCCCCCCCCCTTTTTTTTCTTGATGATTCTTTGCTGTTCCCAGCAGGCTGTCCTTTTCCAGGGACTGGCCCTCCTGATAACCTGTCCAGAGTATGTAAGAGGACTCATAGCTCACCATCCTTGCTTTGTTAGAGCCCTCTGCCTGGACTTCCTCCGGGACACATCTGTTCTGTAGACAGTCCATGGAATAGCCAGTGTTCTTGCCAACCTCTCAAATCAAGGGCATCATTTCTTCTTCATTCTTCTTTTATTCATTGTCCAGTGTTCACATTCATAAGAAGCAATTAAAAATGCCATGGCACGGAGAAGGCGCCTCTTAGTTTTTAGCCTGGCAGTCCTACTCTCTGCCACTTTAAAAGCACGTGTGTCACTTGCGTTGCTGCTGTATCACTCAGTTTCTTGACTGCTGCTTCTGAGGGCATTGATTGTGAATCCTGGTAAAAGGAAATCCTTGACCACCTCAAGCTTTCCTCTGCTCATCGCGATGACGCTGGCTGGCGTTGTTGTTCACGGTTGTTGCTGCTCTGTGATGTCAGATTAGAAGACTCAGAGCTCATCAGAGGGTTTTCTGAGACTGTAAACGGCACCAGGAAAGATTGTTCACCTTTCTCTCCTGGAGCAGCTGGTGGATTCGAACTGTGTGCTTTTGGGTTGGCAACACAATGCCTCACCTGCTAGGCTGCCGGAGCGCCCCAGTTGTTCACTGTAGACTAGTAATGCACACAGAATTAAGTGCACAGTTCCGTTACATCCCGAGTACCCTGTCTTTGCTTGCAATTATGGATTTGGAAACAGGCTATGATTCTTGTTGGAAGGTGCTGTGTGATGGGGAGGAGACTGATGCCAGCCATACCTAGAAGCAGAATACTTGATCTGGTAGGAAAAGAAAAAATAGATGCAATTGTTCATTGCAGATTAGTGAGTCATCACAAGGACTTGACTGCTAATCCCTCTGATGGGGCTGTCCAAGGCTGGCCGGCTGACTGCTCACAGGACAGGGCCCATTCGAAGCATCCTAAGGGTGAGAACATTGAAGACAGGGCATGGCTGAGAATGAACTTGTACAGGTACTGCTGGCAGATGGTGGTCTCCTTTCATAGCTAAACCTATACCTTACTTTTGAATAAGCCAGCCATTATTTACAGTCTAATAAGTTTTAACAGTGCAATACATGCATTATTTAAAGTAGTAAAAGCTTTAGCAAAGATTCTTTAAAAAGTGCTAAAGGGTAGATTAATTTTTGTAAGCCAATGTTGAGATGATCTTTGATAATGACCAATGCATAATGTGGTAACATTAAAAATCATGACAATTTTTTAAAGTATTAGACGTCATTAACAAACGATCAAGAATTCATGAAATAGATGAAAGTAGGACAGATAATGCTGAGTAACATAAGCCTTCGCAAAAAGAGAGTCATGGTTTAAGACCAATGTTGTAAAAAGCTAAGGCAAGGGCCAAGGATGTCATTGAAGAGTATTTCAAATGTAAGAAATGAAACCAATAAAGAACTTGGCATATTGGGAAAAAAAAAGCTAAGGCAAGATTTACACATGGATAAAATGAGCCCTTGAAGGATAAGAGGGCTGGGAAGGGAGGAAGAGGGGGGTAAATGTTAGTAGATGGGTGAGCTGGATGAAGGGAAAGTCGGTAGACAAGAAGGTATATTCATTCATTCATTCATTCCTGTTGCGGTGAAGTCAGAACCAGTTCAAAGCTGACCCTCCAGCTGGTTTTTGGAGGAAAGGGATGGGGGATCACTGGGAGGACAGAGTTTGGTGGATGGGATGGGGGTGGTGGTGGAGGAATTGAGAAATATCCACAGGGGACCTGAAAGGATGAAGTAAGAGTAGGCATAGACCATTGGTGACTGATTTTATAAAACACTATGTATACAAATGATTGTATAAAACAGTGTGCATGAAGGAAGGTGTGAAGCACAGCGTCCATGTCTGAAACACAATGTATACAAATTTTGTGTGCAAACCAATACAAACAGAAAAAAAAATCCTGAGAGGAAGATTGCCCATCTTTCTCCTCCTGGGCAGGTGGTGGATTTGACCCACCAGAGAGACATAGCTGCCTTGACTGGCAACATAGTTACCTATGGACTATGTCATCTCCTTAAGGGGTTGATCAGACACTGTAATACATGAATTCTATTCATCTATGGCCCTTAATGTTATAGAACAAGATGTCTGTGGGAGACTGTATGAGAAAGCAGTATGCTTCATAAAACATCACTCAAATAAAGAAATTAAAGACATTTTAAATGACTCTTTTTCTTGGTTTTGATCCTTCTTGAGTTGGTACTTTCTTTTGGTCATAATTAATCACATGTGAGTGTAGAGCTGTGATGTCCCAAATATCCACTCACCCCTTCCCCAAATCAGAGAGCAGTCCAGTATTTCCACCTAAACCCAGCCTGATTGAAAAGGCTTCTCACCGGAGGCTTAGACGTGATTTTCCGTGCCGCCTCACGGAACTTTACTCTTGAATGACTTCGGGTATCATCTTCATGCTGAGTCTCTTCTGCTACTTTCTCTGGCTGTTTAATTGGGAAAAACAGAATAAATTATTTAAATCAAGAAACTTGGAATGTTACTAACGGTGGTTGTTGTAATAGGCCATTGAGTTGTCTGCGACTCATAGGGACTCTGTGCAACAGCTCTGAAGCCTGCCCTGTCCTTCGCCTGTCTCACTGACTCTGACACACCTACCCCCATTACCCCAGTTATTGGGTCAATCCATCTCATCTATGGTCCTCCTCTTCTTCATTGTCCCTCCACCCTTCCAAGTATGATGCCCTTCTCCAGGGATTGGTCCCTCCTAGCCACATGCCCAAAGTATGTGAGATGAAGCTTCATAATCCTTGCCTCCAAAGAGCAGCCTGGTTTCACCCTCACTAGGATATACTAGTTTGATCTCTTGGCAGTCCATGGTATGTTAGTACTCTTCTCCAGCACCACAACTCAAATGCATCAATTACTTTTCAGGTTCAGCAATCAAATATTGATTGCTTAGTATTTCCAGTTGCTTTAAAGTACGTGGAAATTAGACAGGACAAGGACAAGATGAGGAAGGACAGGATGAGGAAGGCCATGGGAAGAATCGATGCCTTTGAACAGTTTTGTGGAACAGAATTGAATACACTGTGGCCTGATGAAGGAGCAAACACGTCTGTCTGAGAGGAAGTGCTACTAGTGCGTCCTTTCCAGGCAAAGACAGTGGAACTTGATGTCACAGGAGGTGATGGTGCTTGGAAAAAGACATCACTCTGGGAAAAGCAGAGGGTCCACAAAGGAGAGGAAGACTCTCAAGGAGATGGACTGACACCCTCATTCCAACAATGGGATTAGGTTTGGAGATCATGGGATGGCATAAGACAGGAAGGGGTCCATCTGTTTCCTAGGGTCCTTCTGAGTAGTCAATTAGACAGCTTCTAACAACAACAACAACAACAACAACAACAACAACAACAACAACAACATTACATGAAGGAGCCTTGGTGGCCCAGTGGTCACATGCTGTCTTTTCCCTTCCTCCTCCTCCTACTCCTCTGTCCCTGCCCTTCAACTACCCTTCTGCTAAATCCCAGGTTTTACTGGCTTTCTCTCTTCCTCTAGCTTCCTGAACTGTGGAATTTTCTCCAGGAGTCATGCCTCTTCTCATTCAGCTTTCTCTTCAAAAACAAAGGTAAAAAACATTCTCAAGGTGTCAGAACACCACAGTAGAAATGCTTCTTCAATGTATTTCTCCAGAGTCAGGTCTTTCTTCTCTGAGTGGATGGCAACATCTCAGGATCAAACTAAAATCAGACCACTTCCCCATCTGCTGTAAGTAACTGTCCATGATTTGTGGAACATTGTGGTGAAGGAACAGGACTGCACGTCTAACTGCCTTCTTGGCCATGAGGCCGGAATGACCAAGTGTGATTACTGGACATTTTGATGAAGGAATCAGTAGAGGAATGCTGATCAACAGGGGGTGAAATGAGGAACAAGATTTAAAATTTTTACAGAATCCAAACCCATTGTATCTATTGAGAAAAGAAGCCCAGAGTCTCTTGCTCTAAGAAAATAAGTCATCAAATCATGAACTGAAACTATGTCCTGAAGTTATCTTTAAACTATTTAGTAAATTGTTGTTGTTGTTATGTGCCATCGAGTCACTTGCGACTCATAGCGACCCTTTGTACAACAGCCCTGAACTCTGCTCTGTCCCGTGCCAATCACACCATCTCCTGATTACCCCAGTCACTGAATCAATCCATCTCATAGAGGGCCTTCCCCTCCTGCGCTGTCACTCCACCTTCCCTAGTATGATGTCCCTTTCCAGTGACCTGCCCCTCCTTATAACGTGTCCAAAGTATGTTAGACGGAGCCTCAGAATCCTTGCCTCCAAGGAGCCGCCTGGTTTGACCCTTTCCAGGATGAATCTGTTTGTTTTCTTAGCAGTCCATGGTCCTCTCAATACTGTTCTCTAGCACCACAGCTCAAAGGCATCAATTTTTCTTCTATCCTCCTTAGTCATTGTCCAATTCTCTGATGCATAACAAGTGATTGCAAAGACCATGGCCTGTATCAGACACACCTTAGTCTTCAGAGAGACACCACTGTTCTTCAGTACTTTGGAGAGGTCCCTAACAGCAGACTTTCCCATCGCAATACATCTTTTAATTTCCTGGCTGCTGGTGCCAAGAGTGTTGACTGTGGAGCCAAGCAAACTAAAGCTGTGAACAATCTCAATCTCTTCGCCATCCATCCTGATGCTGCCAGTTGGCCCAGTGGTGAGAATCTTTGTCTTCTTGACATTGAGCCTCAATCCATATTGGAGGCTGCAGTCCTTGACCCTCTGCAGGAAGCGCTTCAGGTCCTCCTCAGTGTCAGCAAGCAGGGTTGTGTCATCTACAAAACGCAGATTGTTGATAGATCTTCCACCAATCCTGAGGCTGCATTTCTCCTCATAGAGCCCAACCTCCAGGATAATCTGTTCTGCATACAGGTTGAAAAGGTATGGAGACAGGACGCAGCCCTGGCGTACGCCCTTCCCAATTTTTAACCATGCAGTGTTTCCTTGCTCTGATCTGACGACTGCCTCTTGGTCCAAGTATAGGTTTAGGAAAGAATATTCTCCACAAGCTTTGTACTCTTTTAAAGAATTATCTGCATGAGATTAAATAGTCAACTGAAACTCACAAGTATAGATGAGAGGGTTAGGGGCTGAGTCTGAATAACTGGTGGTGAAATGGGTGGAGATGTTGAACATATTGGCACAAGGGGAAGAAAGTTAGCACTACCATAGGATTGCCTGTGGAGAGATCAATGAACGAGTAAGTGTGTTGTCTGATGCATTTTCACCAAAATGAAAATGAAACGATAAAGCCTTCTGAGTGCGACACTCAAAGTTCCCACAATCCAATCCAACCTTCCTACTGCCCTCTTCTCCCTTCGCTTTCTGGAATATACTTGGATCCAGTGAAACAAACCTGGGAAGAAGATAAGACCTGGTAGGATCAAATCTCAACGATGCCATATATATTCTGTGACTGAAGGACATAGTCACTCTGAACCTCAGTTTCTCTACCTGTCAAATATTAATGCAAATAACAGGACTTGCCTTATAGAGTTGTTGGTGTAATAATGAAACGGAACAGCATGGGACAAGGTCTTGGCTAAGCTGCTGGTACGGAGTTGCTGTTTGGCACTGTTGGTCTTGACCCAGTGCCCCTGTATACAAGCGATGGACACTTCGGCAGATTCTGCACGGTCTTTTTCTCGTCATGTATCATTGTTGCAGTCACTGTGCCAATCCATGTCATTGAGGACCGTGCGCTCCTTCACTGACCCTCTGCCTCTCCAAGCGTGCTGGCCCCTTCCAAGGCCCCTCCGGACAGCATGCCTGAACTAGGTGAACAAAGCCTCACGGGTTTTGCTCCTAAGGAGAACTCTCTGTACTTCTTCCAACAAAGACTTGTCCCTTTTGCATCCCAAGGCCCATTGAGTCGTCTTCTCTGCCCCACAATTGAAAGGCCTTCTTTTTCAGTCTTTACTCATGGGCCAAATTTCACATTCTTAGGAAGCAATGGAAAATATGGCTTGGATCAAGCATACCTTAGACTTTAAAGTGATGTCTTTACTGGTTAGCATTTTTAAGTGGTCCGTGACAGCAGGTGTGCCCAGTGCCACCCATCCTTTGTTTGATTTTCTCGACTGCTGCTTCCGTGTGTGTTGATTGGGAATTTAAGTAAAATGAAGTCCTTGGGAACTTCAATCTTTTCTTCATCTATCAGGATGTTGCCTTTTGGTTGTAGCTATCATCATTATTGATACCTAGTGGTGAGATGCTGTGCTGTAATCCCAAAGGCACAAAGTTCAAACCAGCAGCTGCCCCATGGGAGAAGGATGGGCAGTCCCCTCCTGTGCAATTTACTGTCTCTGAAAACCCGCTGAAGGGTGTCAACTATGGCTTGCTTCCGACTCAGTGGCAAACAACAACACCACCACCATAACAACAGCAGGTGTAAATATTTTGCTCCTGACTACTAACACTGAGTGCTAAAGAGCAATGATGTCAGTCCAGAAACTACGGTGCCCCTAATCCAGGCCATGGTCTTCTCATTTGCTTGCTATGCATCTGAGTGTTGGACAGTAATAAAGAATGGCAGAAGCATCGACGCCTTTGAGCCGTGGTGCTGGAGAAGAGTATTGAACATACTATGGACTGTTCAGAGAACAAAGAGGTCTGTCCTGGAGAGGGTGACGCCAGGATGCTCCTTGGAGGCAAGGATTCTGAAGCTCCGTCTGACATACTTTGGGCATGTTGCAAGGAGGGACCAGTCCTTGGTGAGGGATGCCATGTTTGGGAGGGTAGAGGGACGGTGCAGGAGAGGAAGACCCTCTATGAGGTGGATTGATTCAGTGACTGTGGCAATGGGCTCAAGAGTGACAGAGATGGTGAGAATGGCTCACGGCAGGGCAGAGTTCAGGGCTATTGGTCATAAGGTCACTACGAGTTGTAGTCAACTTGATGGCACATAACAGCGGTAACTGACACACTAGAGTAAGCATTGCATTACTGACCCGCTAACTAAAACGCCGGGTGCTTGGATTCCTTAGCCGCTGTGTAGAACCATGAGGCACTCTGCTGCTGTTGAGATTTACAGCCTCAGTGACTGCAGGACAGCTCTGCACTCCACTCTTGGGCTGCTGTGAACTGGCTGGCCGTGGTTAACTAACCTACAGGCTAACTGAACCCCTCCAGCCATACCCCAGGGCACCCCAGCGGTGTAGCCCTTGAAGAGCTGTGCAGCTAACACAATGGTTGTTCCTCTGGCGGTTCAAATCCACCAGCAGCTCGTTGGGGAAAAGATGGGCAGTTTCCTCCCGGGGGGTTTACAGCCTCCTGGGGCCCTCTGGAGGGTCATCTGGGAGTCTGTTCCAACTCGACAAGGTTTTTAAAGTTGAGGAGAAGTGCTGTGTGATAAATACCTAGTGATGTGCTTCTATAAAGACTACAGCCAACAATATACCGTGGAGCAGGCCACTTGTCACATATGGGGTCACGAGGAGTTGGCATTAAGTTGGAAAAAAATTCACAACCCCCAGCCTTTTTATTGTAATTGTTAAACATGGAATACCTCCTGTGCATAGCTTTAGTCTAGACCTTCCTTGGAATGTTTTTATTCTGCTTCACTGGTGTTTTTTTTTTTTTTTTTAATTTCTTTTTTTAGTACTGGCTTACTTACAAAGCTTGTATATTTTGTTTTTCATACCCGATCGTTCCCCTTTCCTTTACCCACCCCTCCCTCCACCCATTCAACTGTGCGACCCTTTGGTTAAGCACCCCACCATCCTCACCCCTATGCTTCCCCCTCCCCTCCTTGTACCCTCTTACTGGTTTACAATAATCGTCTTATATAGTGTTTGTCTCCACTGGCTTTGGACAAACACAAAGATGAGGGTGCCCCTTCTTCTCACCTCCATGCCAAACCCCGTCTCCAATTCTTTAACAGCGGGACTCTGTAAGCGCCTGGGCCGCGGCGTGGGAACTTCCTGCAGCAGGGCACTTTCTGCTTTGGACTATGAGTTTAAAGAAATAAGAAGAAAGAGACAAAAATCACTGCTCCAAATGTCATCCAAGCCACAAAATCATCACGGTCTCAGAAGAAAATAATAGTTTAAATAGGACACAATGCTCTTCTTAAAGGGTTGGGGACAGGTAAATTTGTTTTGCAAAACATTCTGCAGCTCCGTACCCATGTGAGATGCAGCATTACTGTTTGAACATGGAGAACGCACCCGTGATACCCAGATCTGTGCGGCCTGCAGCAAACAGCAGGAGGAACAGACTCAGAACGCCCGCCAGCCCTCATCAAGAAGACCAACAATTTATAAAAGTAATCACCATTGGCCCTTGCCCATCATTACCCTCTTTTCTCCTGGATCCTTCCCCTTTTTTCCCTCTCCTCCCTCCACCCTCCAAACTGTGCAACTCTGTGCTTGATGATTGTATGAAATACAATGTGACTGAAGAATAGTGTGAAACACAATGTATACAAACCTTGTAAGCAAACCAATAAAAAGAATTAAAAAAGAACAACAGTTTCATTAAATACTGTATGACATGGGAGAGTCGAGAGAGCATTAGGCTGGGTGAAATACCTCAGACGTACAGGGACAAATACTGCATTAGACCACTGTTGTGAAAATAGGTGGATTAATTAAGCAAGATGTGCATGAAAGTTCAGAAGGAAAAGGGAAAAGGGGCAGAGAAAGGGCAAGTGGGGAAATCCTTAGGATAGCAGAGGTGTGTGGGCAGATGGGTGAGGGAACAGGATAGACTTGATAGGGACTTGAAAAGTCAGGAGGATACGAGGCATAGATCCATAGTAATTCTTGAAATAAAATGCAATGTATATAGCACAATGTATATGAATGAAACATGATGTAAATGAAGATTGTATAAAAGCCAAGGTATGCAGATAGATTACAATGTAAATGAAAGATTGCCTAAAACACAATGTACATGAATGAAAGACAATGTAAATGAATGATTATATGCAGACCAATAAAAATATATTTAAAGAAAAAATACCCACCCTGGTGGCCCTTACCCGTGCGGCTTGTAACTTCTCCCTCATGCGCTCCCTCATGGAAAATTCTGCAAAGCCCGTTCTGGAAGCTGCAGGAATTGGCGGCAAGCCTAACAAAATAAAGACAAACCACTTTACAAAAGGCCATTTTTGAAGGAAGGAAGAGTCAGGTAAGAACACAAAGACAGTTGATTTCTCTAAGACATATCTCTGTTCTCTTGGTTGTCCATGGGATGTTTGGTTCTCTTCTTCAACATCACAGCTTAAAGGCATCAGTACTTCTTCTGTCATCCTTATTCATTGTCCAGCTCTCAAATGCATAGAAGTGATCAGAGAGACCATGGCTTGAATCTGACACACCTATAGTCCTCAAACTGACATCATTACACCTCAATAATTTAGAGGTCCCTAACTGCAGACCATTTCATTCTTAACAATTTTTAATTTTCCTACATTCATGGTTCTCACATGCCATGTCCCAATCACTAGTGTCTGCTTACAACTGTTACTCTTCCTTTGTATTTCCATACTTGAAAGTTCTACCTAGGTTGCCCTTTCTGTTAGTCTACGTGTGTTCTGTTGTGCATAGGGTTTTCAGAGGCCTGCTATTTCAGAAGTGGATGACCAATCCTTCTTCCTAGTCTGTCTTAATCGGAATGTTCAGATTTAGAGGAATATCTGACAGACAAGCAATTTGTGGAGCAGTGAAAGATAAATCCCTCATTGTGGAGTTTACACTTAGTTACAGTGTTGACCCCACCCTTAGCCCAGTGCCTTGACTCACTTATTTCCGAGCTCCACTCTCCACCAGGATACCCCTTCACATCTGCCAAATCCCTTCAGAAAGAATGTTTATCTGTGTTTCATTGATTATGCAAAGACGTTTGACTGTGTGGATCATAACAAACTGTGGCTGACTCTGAGAAGAATGGGAATCCCAGAACATTTAATCGTGCTAATGTGAAACCT